CATCTGACATGCGGCCTGCTACTACTGCCGCCCCCCGCACACCCCCCGGCCTTGGACAGCAGGCCAGGGGTGCCAGAAGATCTACACTGCATCCTGGGGGGTCTGGGAGGCCTTCCCAGCCCCCACGTGGTCAGCGCATGGCGGATCCAGAGCCGGGCGGGTAGTGGTGAGTGGGCCCCTCAGGGCCACACGGGGCATGGCTGTGCTGCCGCTGGGGGGCGGAGGGGGGGTCCTCCCCGGGCTCTGATGGCTCCTCTGGGGATGAGGGTCGGCAGGGGGGGTCTCCCCCCGGGTTCTGTCCCAATTCCTCCCTCCCCCCCTGAGGTGCCATCCCTTGTCCCCTCTCCCTCTGGAGTCCCCTCTCCCTTGGTTTACCTCCTCCTTCCATGTTGCTGCTGTCCTGGCTCTCTCTGCTCCCCCTCCTGGCTCTCTCTCTCTCTCCCTCCCTCCTTCCTCCTCCCCCGTTCCTGCTGTGCTGGGCCCCCTTCCTCTCTCTGCTCCCCCTCCTGGCTCTCTCTGCTCCCCCTCCTGGCTCTCTCTCTCTATCTCTATCTCCCTCCTTCCTCCTCCCCTGTTCCTGCTGTGCTGGGTGTCCTTCCTCTCTCTTAGCTCTCTCTGTCTCCCTCCCTCCTCCCCCCCTCTCTCCTGTCCCTATTCCTGCTCCCTATGTCCCCCCTGGCCCCCCCGGTACTTACCTCGGCTGCCCTCCTCTGCGGGTGTGAGCTCCTCTCCACAGCTCTTCACACAGGATCTGGCTGCAGTTCCTGGGACCGGCCAGCAGATGGCGCTAGGTGCTGCTGCTGGGCTGAGCAGTGCTGAAAATGAAGTTAACTCTGTCCTGCCTGGATCATCTTCATTTCCTTTGCCGCGGGAGGTTCCTCGGGCATCGGCTGGTGAGTTCACTAATGTTTCTTCTTTTCAGTCCAGGGGTTCCTCTCTGGGGGGTTTTCTTGATCAGTCAAAAAAAAAAAAATTACAAAAAATATAAAATAGATCAAATAAAGGGAGCAGGGTGCGCAAGCAGGTAGGGTCCCCCCATTAGATGGTTGGCTCCGGTTAGTGTGGTCCCTGGCGCTGCAGCCACAGGGTTTTTTTGTCTGTTTTTGGGGTCACGCTGTTACCCTCACCAAAATTTGGAGGGGAGACTTTGTTGAGACTTTTCCCTCCTTCCCATGGAGGAGGCTCCTCCTTTAATGGAAAAGGACGGGTAGGAATCAAAAAAAAAAAAAAAAAAGACAAGGAGAAATACCAGTACCGGAAGATCCCTATGACTTGCGCAAATTGGATTGGTACGTTTGCAATCCTGGCCAGTGTAACTGGGGAAAGGGCTCCGCAGAAGTGCTCCGCATTGTTCTGCTACCAGGATACCATTTGGAACGCTTGTCGTACCTATGGCAGTCTGGGATGGTGGAAATATGACGACCAGTTCTGTCAACAGTTGGCGGGGGGGTCCTCCTCCTCACCAGCCACGCATCGGTGGCCCGGCTGTTGTTGAAATTCAACAACAGTCACTGCAAATGGGGGGCATCTTGCTGTTTCCAGCACGAATGTTCCACTTGGGGATTTGGGGTCAGAGGGCGATGGCGCCAGTGGTCATGAGCGCGATGCGCCCTTGGCTCTCCAGTTTATAGAAATCGTCGGGTGGCTGGCATCCTACTGGATGGGTTGAGCATGGGTTTTGGACAAATACCGTCTGATTCACCATTTATCGTACCCCGGGGGGGGGGGGGGTTGGTGAATGACGACATCTCTTGGGAACTCTGACGGGTATCTTATGCATCCTTTGACGTGGCGGTTGATATGGTCAGGGCCATGGGCCCTGGGGCCTTGTTGGGCCAGGGCTGATGTGGATTCGGCCTTCCGTCTACTGCCAGTGCACCCGGGATGTCACCATCTTCTGGGCTGTGTTTTTTTTTTGTAGGCATGTATTACGTAGATATGTGCCTCCCTATGGGTAGTTGCATATCCTGTTGTTACTTTGGATGCTTCAGCATGTTCTTGGACTGGGTGGTGAGGGAGGAGGCTGGTATAGTCTCCTTGCTACACTACCTCGATCATTTCATTTGTGTGGGTCCTGCCGATTTGACAGCCTGTTCGCTGCTGCGACAGGTTCTGGGTGAGGTGTTCCATTAGTTTGGGATCCCATTGGCACACAGCAAGACGGTGGGCCCGGTCACTTTCTCAGCTTTCTGGGCATTGAGATTGACTTTTTGGCGTGGGACTGCCGCTGGCCTTTGAATAAGATTCAAGGCTGGCGGCGCGAAGGGGCCTTGGCCATGGGGCGGCGCGATATTCAGCTGTGCCGCCTGCAGTCGCTCCTGGATGAGCTGAATTTTGCCTGTCGGATCATGCCCGTGGGGCGGGTCTTTTACCGGTGTCTGACTACGGTGACAGCCGTGGTCTCCGGGCCTCGCCATTTTATTCGGCTCACTCGGCTGCTGCGGGAGATTTTGGGAGTCCTTCTTAGCTGCATATCATGGCCGGTCCTGCTGGCAAAGGCCGGAGGTTTCTAACGCCGACCTCCGCCTATTTACGGACGCAGCTGGCGCGGTGGGGTTTGGGGCCATTCTGGGCTCTAATTGGTGTGCTCCCGTGTGGTCGGACAGTTGGCATGTCTCTGGGCTCACAAAGAATCTGGGCTTTTTGGAGTGTTTCCCCATTTTGGTGGTGGGGGATGTCTGGCAGTCACGTTTCAGGATCTAAGGGTAGTGTTTCACTGCGACAATTTGGGGGTTGTTCAAGCCATTACTCAGCTGACAGCCTCCTTCCCTCGCTTGCTTAAGGGGCAATCGCCTCGCAGGCGGATCTGGAGGGGACGCCTTGCCCGGCGGACAGTCTGGCAGAGTG